TATTGAGGTTTTACTATATATTTCATGTAGATTTTTTGAGAATATTTTTTGTGAAAAGTGATATCTTTTTATAAAGTGTGTTCAAAAAATTATGGAATCATTGAAAGAAAGTGTAGTCGAAAATAAGAATGTAGTAATATGAATTGCAAATAATTTGTATCAAACATGGCAAACATTTCCCCCGTTTTAGCAGTAATTTGCTTTTTCTTCCTTTTATTAAATCAATAAAGGAATTATTTTATTTTTTTCAATAAAAGAATTATTTTTTTTTCTTTTTATGAACAAGTGAATTTTTTAAGCTTTGCCAAACATGCAAGTTATTCTCGGCATAATTAGAATTTGCCTTTTGGTAGGTTTTTAATCTAGATTTTAATTTAAATCAAAATAAAAAATTAGTTGTAACTAAATATTTAATAAGATCCATAACTATTCAATGACATTTAGAGGGATATATTTAATTGGGACTTTTAATGACTTTGGAATTTAAAAAATTTAGAAGTATCCAATGTAAACTTTTTGGGACCCTCTAAATTTTTTAGAAGTTTTTATGAATTTTTAGATATTCAAATTTTAATGACTTCTAGAAACTTTTATAAAAGCTTCCGGAGGTACTAACTTTTAAATAGAAAATACTTATATAAAATTTCAAAATTTGCCTTTCACTTATATAAAATTTTCAAAATTTCTCATTCATTTTCTTTATGTGAAAATTATCTATTTTTTATTAATAAAATTTCATATGGCAAATTTATAATTAAATTTAAATATATTGATTATTTATTTATTTTTAAATGTGTATATATTTATGTATAATTTTGATTGTTATTTATTTAATTAAAATCTTAAATTTTTATTCTTTTTAAAATAACTTTTTATCATATGGGAAGGAAAGGGAATTTTAGGGATCACCACCTCGTATATAAGAATTTCACATTATTACATTAAATTCACATGAATTTTACTTCAAATGAAAGTTTTCAAAAATCTTTTAAATTCTACAAAAAGTCTATAAAAATTTTAAAATGAAAGTCTATAGAAATCTATAAAAGACTTCCACTAAACCAATATAAATTTACAACAAATTCATCAAATTCATATAAGTCATCACTTAAAAAAAAGTTCATCAAAATCTTCAAAAGTTTCAATGAATATACCCTCCTTAACCAACTTGTATAAAAATTTATTAAAATTCAATTTTAATATCCACGAAACAGGAAGAGACATTATATAACTTTAAAAAATAAGTACTTTTCTATGACTAGGTAACTCGAAGAATAAGTCATTAATATTTTTTTCGTACATTTGTATAAAAAATTATTAAAATTCAATTTTAATCTCCACAAAAAAGGAAGAGACATTATATATAACTTTTAAAAACACAAGTACTTTTCTATGGCTAGTTAACTTGAAGAATAAGCCCCCGTTTGTTTTTCATTTTTGGAAGAATGAGGATGAAAAATATAGTTGTTACGGATTCCACATAAGAGATAAAAATTCAAATTTGATGGTTTGATGTGATGGATAACAGTCATATTTTTTATTTTAATGAGAAAATAATAAAAAACAAACGAGAGCTAAGTCTTTAATATTTTTTTCGTACTTCTCGCTTGTTGGAAAAGGGAAGAATATGAGCATAATGTGCCTTTACAAAAGAAGGCAGCCCGACGATAGTGCCAGTGTGTAACTGGAAAAAAAAAAAAAAATAATAAATAAAGTTTTAAAAAAAAATAATTTTGATATTCGCGCCTGCCCTTTTCTTGTCTTGGGTTAAAAGATAAGAATATTATTATCTATCTTTGCCTACTTGCAGAAAGTTTAGCAGCCACTCCTATCATTTTCCATCTTTTACAAGCAGTTTTTCTTTCTCATCAAGCTACTGTACACACCGTGCATTACACGCAAATATTTGGTTTCTTTTTTTTCTTAAAAAAAAAAAAAAAAAGAGGCTCCCATCACTCCGTTCTTAGAATTTTGTGAGGAAGGTAAATCGCGAGATGTATCCCAACAGGTCAGGGAATAAAAATGCATGTACACTGCGCCTACAAAGAGTCTAATTCCATGTCTCAAAAATCGAACCCCCACACTGCGACTGCCAGACTTATTCATTTTCTAGTTTTATATTTGTTGACTTCACCTTAATTTTGTTTGGAATGTTTAGCGATGTCAATGGGTCGAGCCGAGCCGATTCGGCTCGTGCTCGGGCTCGTTGCCCAACGAGCTCGTGGGCAACGAGCTCGAGCTGAGCTCGGCTCGTCAAAAAAAAAAAAGAGCTCGGCTCGGCCCACGAGCTCGGGGCTCGTGGGTGGGGACGAGCCGAGCTCGGCTCGTGAGCTCGGCTAGTGAGCTCGGCCCGTGAGCTCATTTTTTAATTTTTATACACGTTTTCTTTCTAAATATTTTTTAAAAAATACAATTTTGATAAATTTTTATCTTATAAGTATTTTTATTTTGTAAACAATTTATTTAGATAAAGTATGTTTTAATAATAACTTATAAGTTATAATTTTTAAGTAATTTTAATTATAATATATTTTTTTATGATTTTATCTTATAAATAATACTTACTTATAACTTATAAGTTTTTTTTAATTATAATTTAATTTTTTACTTATAAGTTATAAATAATTTTTAGTTAATATATTTTAATTTTCAAGTTTATTTTGAATAAAACATATTGATTGAAAATCATTATTTTATAAATGATAGTCAATCAATTCATAGGTTCGGCTCATTGCTCGGGCTCGTTTTTTACAAGCCCGAGCGGCTCGTTTTAGGCGAGCCGAGCCCACGAGCCCGCGAACTACTCGGGCCCATTGCCACCACTAGGAATGTTAGAGCTTCTTCAATCATCAAAAGAGACTTTACTTTTAGGTCGGTTTGATACAACAAATTTCGATGAAAAATGTTCCATATTTCACATTTTTTCTTGTTTGATTGGTATAATTTTTGCCCGTCACACGATCCATTTTTCCTTGATTTGGTGGAAATATGGGAAATCAATTTCCCCCTTTTTTTTTTTTTTTTTTTGCAATAGAAACAAATTCTATCCGCAATTGTAACAAATTCTTTTCCTTTAATTGACAATTTTTATAGAAAATAAAGTCAAACGAATACCAAAAAATAAAAAATTTCAATATTTTTCATGTAAAATTATACTAATCAAACACATTTAATTAACAATTGATAGTAAAACAAGTTCTAGGCAATTCAATTTTTTAGAATTGACATTCTTTCCACCCAAATTCCATTTTTGCAATCAAACGAACCCTCAAAGGGTTCTATTATTTGGAGAGTATTTATACGTTTAGAGAGTTATAATTTTAAAGTACTTTAACAAGCTCTTTATATTTAACACTTAATTTTACTATTCTCAGAAAAATATTTATTAGTTTCTCTATCTTTTTATTTTAATTAGCTTTTCTTTAAATTATTTTATTATTTTTCTCCATTGAAAATTGAAATATTTTCAAATAGAGAGTATATTATGTTTAAAGAATCTCTTAGAAATATTCTCAGTGGACTCAAATTAGCTGCCCTTATATATAGCAGTTGAAAGATAAGAGATCAAGCGCGGATCTCTACTAGTTTATTGATTCTGAAGATAGTTAAAAGGATGGAAATGTGAAAAGTAACACTCTTCTTTAAAACTCACATAAACTAGAAATACGTAGCGCTAACCTTAAGTTATGCAGGACTTATTTCGTAAGATTTTTGTTTCTTGTAGAAGACTTTTTGCTTCAAAACGAACATAAACTGGAAATACATAGGTTAACATCAAGCTATGTGGGACTCATTTGATAGGGTTCTGCTTCTTATAAAAGGCGTTATGTTTTAAAACAAGTATAAACTAGAAATACAGAGTTAATGTCAATTTATGTGGGGTTTATTTGGTAGAGCTTTTGCTTTTAAAATGAACATAAACTAGAAATATAGCTCTTCTTTGAGCCACAGTATTTTCATTAAAATACGTTCTTCAATAGTGATTTGATCTCATTTCAATCACATTCTTCACTAAAATAATATTACAAATAAATCCAAAACTTTTCTTTATTTTTAACCACACATTTTTCATCAATATACTATTGAAAATGCATTATTTATTTACTATTATTATTTTATTTTTTTTGTGGGCAAGAATGGGGCTCAAAAAGGGCATATAGGGTTAACGTCAAGCTATGTATGGCTTATATGGTAAGGCTTCTAGTTTTTGTAGAAGAGTTTTGTTAGAAAGTCATCTTAGACCATTTTTCTTTAAAAACTCTTCTAATTAAATAAAGAATTTTCAGAAAATTATTAAAATATATTTAAAAAAAACAATTTCTTATCTTAAATGTAGCTTCTAAATATTTTTATTGATTTTATTTTTGTTCTCTTTGATATTAAAATTTGTTTATAAAAGTCACGTGAAGGATAAGAGGTTAAGCACAAATCTCCGCTGCCGCTGCTTTATAGACGTATATTGGATATTAGCGCAAGGTAAATCGTTCGTAATTCATGTATTAAGAGTGAATCACTCATAAATCTTGTGTCTATTACCTAATTTTAATTTTAATTCTACATTATAGTTAATTTTAGTAATGCGAGATTAGATGTTTGGGCCCTATTTAATTCAGCTAAAAGTAAAATTTCAGTGATTTTTTATTAAAATTAATAAAATGTGTGCTCGAAAAATTGATAAAGACTATGAGTTCCATAAAAGATATGATTAAAAAGAAAATAAATTTATATGAAAATATTTAAAAAAAGAATATGCTACTTATACATAACGCGATGTTCATAACGATTTATACTCTCCTCAAATGGAGGGGAATTCACTTGAGATAAATTATAATTTTAAAAGTGGGTCCCTTCCATACGAGGAGGATGAACACTGTTATGAATACCTTGATGTATGTATAGCATAATCCTTTAAAAATGGAGAGCCAAACAAGACTTCAAATCTTTCTATAGGAAACTGTTGTAAACCTCCCCTCAACCGAAAGTAGTCAAAGTACTAAAAAATTAGCCTCCACAGTTAATGCGAAACGGCCCTACTTAAAAGCTCGAACCTCCACAGTAATGGAGTCACATTTTTCTCTGCATGTGAGTTTTAACTGACACTTCCACTCTTTCTCTTTCTCTATATATATATATACACATAAAACAACTGCTAAGTCTCACTCTCGGCTATACTCTGTGGCCTATATAAAAGGGCTACTGTAATAAATTCCATACAATTCTATACAGTTACAGTACAGCCATGAAAATGATGAAATTCCTCTGTTTCCAGTTACTTTGCATAATTTTTCTTTCAAACATTGGTTTGTTCCAGTCGAGTTATCACGATTATGCTGATGCATTGTCGAAATCGATTTTATTCTTCGAGGGGCAGCGATCGGGTTACTTGCCGGATAACCAGAGAATCAATTGGCGGGGGCATTCCGGCCTCAGCGATGGGTGGATGGTTAAGACGGACTTGACCGGCGGTTACTACGACGCCGGCGATAATGTTAAGTTCAATTTTCCGATGGCATTCACCACCACAATGTTGGCTTGGAGTGTGATTGAGTTCGGCGAGTATATGCCGCCGGCGGAATTGAGGAATACGCTGGTTGCAGTCAAATGGGGTACGGATTATCTCCTCAAAATTGTTTCTCAACCCAATCGGATTTTCGTCCAGGTACGAATTCAACTCTAATTCCTACTTTCAAAAACAATAATGATCGGAGTACGGATAATATATAATATGTGAAGAATTAGGTGGGTTATCTGGTGAAAATAAACAATAATCCTTTGGACATTTTCGTGGTTCAAGAATCAACAACAGTTGAACTAACCCAATAAAGGGTCAATTATAAGTTGTTTATGACGTCCGTGACCCGTGGAGCATTGGTTTGTCTGTTTTTCTGAACTTCTGGTCCCACTAATCTTGTGACCAAATTTTTAATGGTAGAAGTTTACAGCACCAATACATCTAAGAATGTGTGCAGCCTACCAAGTTGATTGCTCTATCCAATGGATATGGACTTCACTGTAATTAAAAAAAACCCTGCTCCCTGTCCCGGGTCAGGGACAGGGTCAGGGACAGGGGCGCCACGTGGCGCCCCCTATTGGAGGGGCGCCACGTGGTGCCCCTGTCTTTCTCCCTGTCCCTAACCCGGGACAGGGAGAATTATTCAATTAAAAATTGTCCTTAGTAGTTATTTTTGACTAACCGATAAAATTAGCCATCACCGATGACAGTGCCACTTTGAATTGAAAGATAAGTTCCTCCGAAACCAGGTTGTTAATAGCAAGGAAAATTTTCCATTGGCGTCGATATCTTTTTCTTGTAGCGTCCATAGAAGGGGAGGGGCGAATGATTATTGATGTGAGTAAACAACTGGTGGATCTATTATTGCAAGGAAAGATTGGTGGAAAATTTCCTACTAGATCACCTTTTAGGAATAAGAGAAATCGAAAATGTTGTGTGCTTATCTAACAAAAAGCACGGTAATTTAGTTTAAAAATCTTGAATTTGTACATTAAGTGGAGTACAAATGGAGTTGCAGATTCATAAGTTGAAAGTTTATAATTTCTTTTGGTGGAGGGCTTAAATTATTGACAGCTTAAACTTTTAAGATGCAATTGAAGTTCCCAACTTCTAATTTTGCAGGTGGGGGATCCAATTTTAGACCATAACTGCTGGGAGAGACCAGAAGATATGGACACTGCTAGAACAGTGTACACAGTTGATGCTCCAGATACGGCTTCTGATGTCGCTGGGGAGACTGCTGCAGCCCTTGCTGCCGCCTCCATTGCATTCCGATCCTCTGATCCAGGATATTCTGATACCCTTCTACGAACTTCCACCCGGGTTTTTGATTTTGCAGATAGTTATCGAGGGGCTTATAGCGATAACTCGAATATCAGGAATGCTGTATGCCCGTTTTACTGTGATTTTGATGGATATCAGGCAAGTTATTTTGCCAATCATTCTATTTTTATGTACATTACGAAATCAATGCTGGTACTATGCCTTGTAATTATAATGCACATTTACCCTGGAATTTACGTCAGGCCTGGACCCGATACAGATTAACTACTACTGGAGTATATTTTCTGAATTGTGTTGCTTAGTTGGAGCGTCTTATCAAGTTGTTCTTCTAATTTAATTTGATTTATTGAATCTTAATTGATAGGATGAATTGCTGTGGGGGGCAGCATGGTTAAGAAGAGCTTCTCAAGGCGAATCTTACCTCAATTATATACAAACCAATATCAAAACATTAGGTGCTGATGACAATATTAATGAATTCGGATGGGACAACAAACATGCCGGTCTAAACGTCCTTGTATCTAAGGTTAATATCGATCTATATAAACACGGTGAACATTTTGAGTTTTTTTCTTGTTTTCAATGTGAAAAATTGCTAAATATTGTTGTAGGAAGTCTTGGAAGGGAACATGTACTCTCTGGAGACATACAAAGCATCAGCAGATAGCTTCATGTGCACTCTTATTCCCGAATCTTCGACATACCACATAGAGTTCTCTCCCGGAGGTCTCATTTACAGGCCCGGTGGAAGCAACCTACAACACGCCACCACCATCTCGTTCCTCTTGCTTGTTTACGCCAATTATTTGGAGAGATCATATCAGACCGTGAATTGTGGCAGTGTTAGCATTAGTCCAACGATGCTTCGACATATAGCCAAGCGGCAAGTTGATTACATTCTAGGGGATAATCCTAAAGGAATGTCATACTTGGTTGGATATAGTAATTACTATCCAGGGAGGATTCACCATCGTGGTTCATCGCTTCCATCCATCAAAGATCATCCCCAATTCATTGCGTGCAAGGAGGGTTCGATTTATTTTAACTCATCGAACCCTAATCCGAATGTGTTAGTTGGGGCCCTAGTTGGAGGTCCCGGAGAAGATGATGCCTATGAAGATGATAGAGCCGACTTTCGCAAATCCGAGCCCACAACTTACATCAACGCACCATTTGTTGGTGTACTTGCATATTTTGTGGCCAACCCTAACTTCAAATTAGGACAATACACATAAAAATTTGTATATAATGTACTGCATACTCAATTCAATATGGAAAGGATGAAAGTCTCTCATCTTGTGCTAAGCAAAAGAGGGAAGAGGCTTAATCCTAGGAGAATTGCAGCCACAATAGCTCATTGTGTCATTTTTCAATAGAATTGACTACGAAAGCTTGAAATTAACACGTAAAATCTCCGTTTTGGTTTCAAATTTTTGAGACGAAAAGACGAAAAGTTTGAGCTTGATGTTTTCCTTTAGTAGCAAAATATGTTGGAAAAATCATGTGATACTCTCTCCATACATAAACTATAATGTCCTAATGTAAAGATATCTTTGACAGCTTTAAGTACATGGACAAGATATCTTAGTACGTTACTTCGTACTTTGCCTGTTTCTCTTTCTCCATGTGTACTAAGATCATCTTCATCGTTGTACCACAATTTGTACTAAATCTTGCATCAAACCAAAATTCATTTCCAATCATTACACCAGGATTTACACCAGATGAACAATGTTTTATTATATTATTCATTCTTTTGATTTTTGACAATATATTTATTTTAAAAATTTATTTATTTATTTTATAACTATATAAATTACTAAATCATAACTTCGTTAAATTAACAAATATATTGAATTATTATCGATTACTAAATTATTCACATGTTTCATATTATGTTAAATTGAAGAAAATAATTGATTATATTATTAATTTATTTTAAATAATTACGTTAAATTTACAAAAATAATTACTAAATTAAAAAAATCCTTAATTATTATTAATTATATTATTAAAAATAATAAACTTTAATAACATAATTAATTATTATTATTATAAAACGAAAATGACACAAATACCCTTAATGATTATCTTGAAAAAATGAAATAATTATGATGCAACACTGTTCATGTTGTACCATTTTACACCAAAATGGTGCAACGGTTGGAAGGAGGTTTGCACCAAATTTTGGTGCAATAGAACACCCATTGGAGATGGCCTAAAAGCAACCATTGTTAACACCCTTTCATATATGGCTTTGAGAAGGACCGTGACAAATGTTGCCAATGACATTGGTGATTGACGCGAACGTTCGTCCTACTCTTTTTAATTATTATAGTAGAAAATGAGTAACTAGTGTTGTATTATAAATAGAACATCATACTATATTCTAATTTGACGTGTACCGATCAAGAAGAAGAAGAAGCATGTAACGGCTTATTAGCATAAAATGTTTCTACGTTTGGCTTTTAGTGTGCAAAATGTCCATATGTTTCAAATTTTTGTATTTTTACCCCTATTACCATGTTGCATTGTGTAAAATATTATTTTTATCCAATTTCTTAATTAAAAATTGTAAAATGATAAATATGCATTCCTATTTAAATAAAGCAAAAAGAAAATAAAAGAAAAATAAAGAATAAATTGCAATTAGACTTCCAAATTTTTTTCTGAAAAAGTACAAATAAATCAAATTAAAAAATCAAAAAAGAAAAAAACAATCATCTTCCCCTTTCTCTCTCTCTCCCACCCAACACGCCCTTCATACCCCCGCGTTGGAACTCCATCTCAACCTCAGTTGAGGTGATCCCCTCCAATCTTACCCTTCTCCACCACAACTTCGCCTTTGCCTCCTCCACCACAAAACACGAACTCCGTCTCTGCCTCATCATCATTTCCCTCCGATGATTTCGAGTTGTTTTCAATCAAGCCAGCCTCCCACGGCTATACTTCACCAAAAGACTTTTTATCCTCAGTTGCAATAAACTCCTCGAGGCCCAGGATATCTCAGCAAGCTCAATTAGGATTCGATATCTGCATCCACAACGTCTCGTAAAGCAAGCTGCTTGGGCTTTTCTCCAACTTATGTTCAGGAACAAATCTTCGGAAACAAGGAATGCACCGTGTATACAAACAACTGCTAAGCAGACAAGAAAAGTTGAGATAAGCAGCGATCTAAAGCTTGTAAAGTGTTAGACAGTCAGATACTTTGGCAGAAAATCAGGGAACAAGATTCCATTCTGGTAGTGCATTAAGAGTCCCATCTGTTTCAAGTATCTCCAGCTAGAGAGATATCTTATCTTTCCCCTATACAATCGTGTATTATAGTTAAAATGTACAAATATTCAAAGCTAAGTAAGAAGCCAAGCCATAAATTCTCTGCATTTATCTGTCCATGTTCAGTAAATAATTCTTTACATGGTATCAGCCTAACATTCTAAAAACTTACACTATTTTTTAAACGATCCTTCCTTAAGCTTCCGCATAATCCAAATGGCCACCAACAACACCAACTACACTACTCTAGCACCTTTCTTTCCCCCATCTGCCACCACCATCTCTGTCAAACTTGAAGGTTCCCACAATTATCTGGCATGAAAAATACGGGCTCTTAATCTGCTTAGAGGTTACGATATGGTTGGCTTCATAGATGGTACTGAAGTCTGTCTTCCCAAAGATCTCCCCACTGGTTCATTAAATTCTGCCTATTTTGTTTGGCAGAAGAAAGATGCCTGTGTCCTTGGATGGATACTTGCTTCTCTTTCTGAAAGACTTGTCTCCACCATATATGGATTGAAAACATCCGAACAAGTGCACGTTCCCGCGTTTCACATCTCAAACGTCAACTTCAAATGTTCACTCAAGGTAATAAAACCTGCTTTGAGAGTATCTTGACAATGCCAAAAAATATTGCAGACCATCTGGCAACAGCTGGCCAGCCGGTCGATGAACAGGACCCGATCAATATTTTTCTTGGAGGTCTACAAATCTCCTACATGCCATTTATCACATCTTCTAATTTTTCTTCACGTGATAATGACTTCACGCTCGAAGACTTTCAAGTAGATCTTTTGGGCTATGAAAACCTCCTGGACATAAATCTGTCTACTCCAAATTCGGACAGTGGTCACTTTGCCTTTGCTGCAAATAAGCTAAAGATGCCAGCTTATATAAAGAAGTTGAAACCACCACTTTCTCCAGCAAAGATGCAGCAAGCAGGCTCCTCCAACCCTCGATCTCAGCAACATGCTAGACCCATTACTCAGCGAATTCAAAACAAACAGTACTGTCTGTCAAATTTGTGGTAAATCTGGGCATACTGCTATTGATTGTTATCACCGTCTTGATTATTCCTATCAAGGCAGATATCGTCCTCAGGATCTGGCAGCTATGGTTACTGAGAGCAATGCCACGTATGATCATCAAGTTTGGTATATGGACAGTGGTGCCAATGCACATATAACATCAGATGCAGCTAATCTTACCAATTTGTAGCCCTTTCGTGAAGCAGAATCTGTGACTATCGACAATGGTTCGAGTTTGCTAGTTCTACATAATGGTTCCTCATCCTTTAGACTAGGTCACTTCAAATTTCATCTAAACAAAATTCTTCATTGTCCACAAGCAGCCACAAATCTTATTTCTATTAATCAATTTTGTTTAGATAATAATTGTTACTTTATACTAACTACTAGTGATTTTATCATGAAGAAGAACCTTACAGGCAAAATTTTACTTCGAGGTGCGGTTGAAAATGACTTATATCCAATGGCTGGGTACTAGACATCTCATAAGAGCCTCATGTGTCTCTCTGCAAACATAGGGGTTCAAGCTAATACAGAAACCTGGCACTCCATACTAGGCCATCCTTCTAGTGCTGTTTTAGATGTTTTATTTTCATTCCAATAAACTATCTGTCAAAGGCCATGCAAATAATTTTTTTTTTGGCTCAGCTTGTCAACTCAGCAAAGCTAAGCAATTCCCTTTTACAGAGTCTAGTAGTCGTCAGTCTTTAATTCTCCTAACTTTGGTACACTCTGATGTATGGGTTTCTCTTGTCAAATCGATTGGTGGATATAAGTATTATGTTTTATTTGATGATGATTATTCACGTTATTCATGGTTATATCCTTTGCAATAGAAATTTGATGTGTTTGCCACTTTTGTCAAGTTTAAAACAATTGTGGAAATTTTTTTTTCTCTATCTCAATTAAACAAATACAAATAGATAATGGTGGAAAATTTACCTCGAACTAGTTTAATTTTTTTTTGATAACACAAGGGATCCACCATCGTTTAACTTGTCCCACATACCTCTCAACGAAATGGTATTGTTGAGAGAAAACATCGACATATACAAGAGGTCGGACTCACATTATTAGCAAAGTCAAACTTATCACCAGAATATTGGGTTGATTCGTTCCTTACTACTGTCTTCTTAATAAATGGACTTCCTATTGAAGTCTTAAATAATAATACTCATCATTTTTTTACTTCATAAAACTGAACCAAATTATGTTGTGCATGTTACCCTCTTCTAAGACCATACAATGACCACAAATTAGAGTTTAGAAGTAAGAAGTATCTTTTCCCTGGATATTCCAATTGTCAAAAGGAGTACAGGTGTTTTGACTTAGCTACCAAACGTGTATACATATCAAGACATGTAGTCTTTGATGATCAATCTTTCCCAGCTAAGGAATTGGCCGAGCATAACTCATCTCTAAGTCAGAATTCTACTGCAGGTAAGCCTACGATAATTCCTACTTCAATTATATCAAGTACTTCATTACCTAACACAAATTGTGCAGAATTGCCACCCTAAATTACAAACCCAGAATATGATCCTGAACAACATGGTCCTTTAATTCCCATACATAATCTCTCAAATTTAGATTCTCCAAATCAATCTTCAACTCCTGACTGCTCCCCTGACGTACCAAGACCCCTCGACCAAACAACTATTGTACCTTACATATCTCCTAATGTACAATCCCTATCTAAGATATTCGACACTAGTAATCTGCTTGATCTAGAGGTCTCTCCAAACATTCCAAATGTCTAGCCTGTCGTGAGTCATATCCAAACTCGTTCTAAAACAGGTAACTCAAGACTAAAACGATTCTCAGACTACAAATTGTTCTACTCTATGCGATATCCTTTGCAAGCTTTTTCTGTAGTACAAGACATTCCTGAACCAACTAGCTATACTAAAGCAGTTTCTGATCCATAATGGCGTGCTGCAATGGGTAGAGAATTTGATACATTGATGGAAAATGGCATTTGGTCCTTATGTCCACGACCACTTGATAAACATATTGTGCTAAACAAGTGGGTGTACAAAGTTAAAAGAAGACCAGATGGTAGTGTTGAGCATTATAAAGCCAAATTCGTAGCTAAAGGGTATGATCAGAGAAGCGGGATTGACTTCCATGAAACTTTTCACCTGTTATTAAACCTACAACCATTCGACTGGTTTTGGCAATAGTAGTTCACTTTTATTGGTCTATCCGACAATTGGATGTGTCCAATGTTTTCTTACATGGATTTCTTGATAAAGAGGTGTTTATGGAACAACCAAAGGGTTTTATTTATGATACAAAACCTGATTATGTTTGCAGATTACAAAAATCTCTCTATGGCCTTAAACAGGCTCCAAGAGCATGGTTCAAACGATTATCACATTAATTTGATTGAACTTGGTTTCCAGGAATCAGTCAAGGATTATTCTCCGTTCTCTTTACATACTGCCAACACCAAAATTTTTATCTTAATATACGTGGACGACATATTGGTCACAGGGTGCAACAGCTCCCTGATTTCTGACCTTATCCACACCTTGCACGGTATTTTTCATATCAATGATCTTGGTTCCTTGTCCTATTTTTTAGGTGTGGAAGCTGATAGGACTTCACAAGGTCTCCACTTGCATCAGACTAAGTATATTTGTGACATATTAGATCGCACTAAAATGGTTGGAGTAAAGCCCCTTGCATGTCCTACGGTGTCAGTGTTAGAAAATTCAAATTAGATCCAAATATCCTAGATCAAAATAATTTAAATCCTAGGATCAACATCATGCCAAATTAATCGGATTTATAAATTCGGATTATATACCTGTATCCATTATGAACGATTGTCTACTGTTGCGGAATTACTGCGACAATCGACCACGTACTGATGAATTCAAATGAAGAGGGTAGTTTTGTGATCTTCACCAAATCGCCTTATTCCTCAATGAGACTGTGATTTCTCTTCTTGATGGGGAGAAGGGAAAAAGTGTGTGATTTGGTATATTAGGGACCATAACCGAAATATCCTTTATATACTGCTTAATTAAGGTTTCCATTATCCCTTAATTAGAGCAATATTGGCCGGTATCCACTCAATTAGCCCACATTAATTTGAGAAATCTATGGGCATACCAAAATAGACCACTTGATTTTTGCCCTTTATATTAAATAACTAATATAATTGTATTAATATGTTGCCATATTAAGTTAGGAAAACCGTGTTTTCCTAACAATCTCATACTTAGCTACATATTATTCCTTAAACAATTATATTACAAATTCCTTAGGCGCGCATCTGTATGCTATTTATCCTTAGACTGCTCCTTAAACAATCTTGTCCATCTCATATATTAATAATGAAACCACTGCAACTTTCATCACAATATAGTCGTGATTAAACCATGACGATCACCATATCAATACACTTAATGACATAGATCAAATATGGATGAGTAGCATGGAAATTTACGTTAAATGTGATCTCAAACATGCCTATTTCCAACTGGTCATTCTTTAGTCTTTAGTGATCATTCCAAAGTCCTTAATGCAATGCAAACATTGCACAATGAAAATGCAAGTAAACTCAGAAATAGAATCATAGACCATCAACTTTATTCTGCAGAAGGTTAAATAATTCAATGTTTAAAGCAAACGTATAGAACATAAAATTGACTCACACTGGACCAGAATATCCTCGGAAATAACGCCCATGTGAGCAGCGTGCTCATGAAAGACCTTAGGCGTCAAGCGTTTGGTTAGTGGGTCTACTAGTATGGAATTTGTTCCTATATGTTCTATGGAAATCTGTTTATCTTGAACTCTCTCCTTAACAACTAGAAACTTGATATCAATAAATTTCGATTTTGTCGAACTCCTATTTGTTGTTGGAATAAAGCACCGCTGAGTTATTGTCACAATAAATCTTTAATGGCATGTCAATGCCATCTACCACTTATACTCCAGTGACAAAGTTTGGTAGCCATATTTCATGGTTGGATGCCTCATAACAAGAAATGAACTCCGCAACCATGGTTGAAGAAGCTATGAGAGTCTATTTAGCAGACTTCCATGAGATAGCTCCTCCAGCCAACATAAAGACGTAGCCTGATGTGGAGCGTCTGCTATCTTGGCATCCCGTAAAATCAGAGTCAGAGAATTCGATGATCTCTAAACTATCTAATCTTCGATAAGTGAGCATATAGTCTTTTGTTCTCCTCAAATAACGCATCATGCGTTTGGCTGCTTTCCAATGTTGCATGCTAGGATCACTCAAGTATCTACCCAAAACTCCCACTATAAATGTTATGTCGGGACGAGTACAAATTAGAGCGTACATTAGACTCCCTACCACTAACGCATAGGGAATCTTCTGCATCTCTTCTCTTTCAAGATCATTATTGGGGCACTGTTTTAGACTAAACTTTTCTCCTTTAGAGATGGGCGTGTCTCCTGGTCTACTATCTTTCATGCCGAATCTACTCAAAACCTTATTGATAGAGCTCTTTTGTGACAGTCCAAGGATACCTCGAGAACGATCTCTCAGTATCTGAATACCCAATACAAAAGAGGCATCCCCAAGATCTTTCATCTCGAATTTCTTCGTTAGAAATTTCTTGGTTTCATGCAGTAAGCCTATATCGCTGCTAGCGAGTAGAATAGCATCAACATATAATACCAAGAAGATATATTTACTCCCCCTGAACTTATGATATACACAGTCATCAACAACATATGCCTCAAAACGATACGAGGTAATGATTTGATGGAACTTGTGATACCATTGACGGGAAGCTTGTTTGAGACCGTAGATGGATTTCTTCAACTTACAAACCATAGACTTTGGATCTCCTGATACAAAGTTTTCTGGTTGTACCATGTAGATTGTCTCATCAAGGTCTCCATTGAGAAACGCAGTCTTGACATCCATCCGATGTAGCTCTAGATCAAAATGAGCCATTAGTGCCATTATTGTCTTTCGAAAATACCGGAGAGAAATCTCTTTGTAGTCTATGCCTTCTTTTTGAGTAAAGCCTTTAGCGACTAGACGAACTTTATATCTCTCAACATTGCCTTTTGAATCTCTCTTGGTTTTAAATATCCACTTACAACCAATGGGCTTTACACCTTTAGGCAACTCGACAAGATCCCAAACGTCATTGTCTCTCATAGACTTTATCTCATCTTTCATAGTATCAATCCACTTCTGAGAGTTAGAACTGTGAATGGCCTGATGGAAGTTGATCGGGTCATCCTCCGTTAAACCAATGCCATCCTCATGTTCTTGAAGAAAGATTATATAATCATCTGGAATCACATTTCTTCTCTCCCTAGTGGATCTCCTTAATGGCACTTCTTGATGTTGTTGAGTTTGTTCTATAGGTAGTGCTTGAGGAAGAATCTCATTGTTGCCTTGGTCTGAAACAATGTCAGGGATAGGAGCTTGAACATTGTTATCTATTGCCAGAACCGTGTCTTGAACAACAATAGGTACAGAGACCTGATTGCTGTCTATAACATATTCTTCTTCAAAGACAACGTTCCTTATATTTCCTTTCCCTCCAAACTCAATATCGTCAAGGAATCTCGCATTTCCCATTTCAAAGAAGGATCTTGATGTGGGATCGTAAAACTTATAGCCTCGAGAGCGTTCAGCGTAACCAACGAAATAGCAGCTAATCGTCCTTGAGTCCAGTTTTCTTTCATGTGGCCTATAAGGCCGTGCCTCAGCTGAACAACCCCAAATGTACAAGTGCTTAATGCTAAGCTTCTTGCTTGTCCACAACTCATAGGGTTTTTGGCAACTGCCTTGCTTGGTACCCTGTTAAAGGTGTACACTGCGGTCTTCAAAGCTTCTCACCAAAGTGACTCTGGCAAGGAGGAATGACTCATCATACTCCTTAACCATATCCTTAAGAGTTCGATTTCATCGCTCTGCAACACCATTCATGCTGGGTTTACCCGGCATGGTGTATTGCGGAACAATTCCACACTCATTGAGGAAAATAGCAAAGGGTCCTAGACATTATTCTCCTGATCCATCATACCTTCCGTAGTATTCACCAACACGATCAGATTTGATAGCCTTTATTTTCTTTCCAAGTTGAAGTTCAACTTCAGCTCTGAAAGACTTGAAAACATCCAGGGATTGAGACTTCTCGTGTATTAAACATAGGTAACCGAATCTAGAGTAATCGTCTATGAACATAATGAAGTATTGTTGTCCATTCCAAGAAGCCATAGGGAATGGGCCACAGAAATCAGTATGTATTAGTTCTAAAACGTCTGTAGCTCTCTCGATACCTAATTTTCTCATGTTTGTTCTTTTCCCCTTGATGCACTCAACACAAACTTGGAAGTTTGTTAAATCTAGGGGTTCAAGAATTCCATCCGACACAAGCCTCTGAATTCTCTGCTTAGAGATATGACCTAAACGCTTGTGCCATAAAGTGACAGAATTCTTACTTAATTTTCGCTTTGTACCACGTGAACTTGTTTGTAGTATTTCGTTATAGGAACTAACAATATCAAGTATATATAGATTATTAATCATATAACCGGAACCAACAAAATTTGAATTTTGATAAAGACTAACTTTATTATTTCCAAATGAACAAGAAAATCCTAATTTGTCCAAACTAGAAATAGAAATTAAATTCCGTTTAAAGGACGGTGCAACAAATGTCTCAAACAAATCCAAATAAAACCTAGTTTTTAATTGTAATCTGAAAGTCCCTATAGCCTCTACTGCAACTTTATTGCCATTGCCCACAAAGATAAATATTTCTGAATCACTTGGTGGTCGACTCCACAGGAAATCTTGCGTGGACATACTTATGTGAGTAGTAGCACCAGAATCTACCCACCAAGTATCCTTATGTATAGAAGCTAAATTAGTTTCAGAACAAATTGAAGTTAGAAGCATACCCTTCTTTACACACCAGGCAGCGTACTTGGGACACTATTTCTTCACGTGTCCCGACTTCTTGCAGAAGTAGCAGGTAAACTCCTTATCCTGCTTCTTTTGCTTCTTCTGCTGAGAAGTTCCTTCCATAGCATCCTTAGCTCTCTTCTTTTTCTTGTTCTGAGAGATTGAGGCCAAGTGAGCATTCTCAGTCTTATCACACTGCTGCCTCTCTTCTTCTTGCACACAGTGAGATATAAGGTCATTTAGGGATCATTTGTCTTTCTGAGTGTTATAACTCACTTTGAATTGCCCAAAGTGCGCAGGAAGAGAGATCAAAATCAAGTGCACGAGCAAGTCATCAGATAGCTCCAACATAAGCGACTTGAGTTTTGATGCAAGATGAGACATCTCAATGATGTACTCCCTTATGTTCCCTTTGCCCTTATACTTTATGGAAACAAGTTTAGCCAAAAGGTTACTCGCCTCCGATTTTTCATTCTTGGCAAAGTATTGCTCAATTTCTTCAAAGAACTTCTTGGCACTCCCACTTTCAGTAATAGAGCCCCGAAATGCTTTCGGAATGGAACGTTTCATGATCATCAAGCACATTCGGTCAGAGCGATCCCACCTTTCAATTTTACCCTCGTTGGAGTTTTCCAGAGTAGAAATGGGTCAATCCAAACAAAGTGCAAGATCTAAATCCATAAAGCCGAGGACAATTTCCACGGCTTCTTTCCAAAACTTAAAGTTTTTCCCGCTCAGCATTGGAATGTTGCTGACTTGAGCAAAGAAGTTCGCATCATTAACAATAGAAATTGTATAGAGAACAAAATAAACAACCATGTCAAATAAGAAAATTAAGACATGCACAAATAATCCAGATTTTGGGATCCATCTCAAGATACCTAGTACAACATTAATTCTTAGTCTTTGGATAGAGAAATTAACTGTAAGTGGTACTCTTGGTGCAATGATCAAACATTGACAATCAATTCTGTCAAATAATAGCCTTTCTTTGGACCGACTATTAGTCACATGAAATGTCTTTATAATTGTCACAAATTTATCATCGCAGACACGTTGTTATTTGGCCAAACTATGTCTTCCTTTGGGTCGAGCACAATTTGTATAAATAACTCCTTACAAAACATCTATGTATTTTCAATTAAATCAATCTACACAACAGGTGTTACTTTAGCAACATGTTGCTTTAATCAATTCAATTGAATACACTAGACATCCAAAGGAATAATCAAAACCAAAGTTTTGAATTTATTTTAAACCTTAAAAAATTGGATTCAGAAATGGTCTAACAACCTGAATCCATTTTCTCCTGCCAATGATTGTTTCCAATTCCTTTATCACCGTAAAAAAAGGTAATTTTTTTAATTAATCTGACAGCACATGTTCTGTATCCATTATTGAATCCATTAAAGTAAATGAAAGGTCAAACAAAGTGGCCGAATATATATACATGTATATATATATATATATATATATA